ATGTCCCAAAGCATTTTTGGAGTGATGCTGTTCTTACATCTTGTTTTCTGATAAATCGGATGCCCATGTCAATCCTTGGAAGTCAATCCTCTTTCTCCGTGTTATTTCCCACTTTGTCTCAATTTCCTCTCACCCCAAGAGTCTTTGGCTGTGTTTGTTTTGTTCAACACTTGGGGCCTGGAGTAGACAAACTAGATGCTCGAGCTACTAAGTGTATCTTTCTTGGCTACTTGAGGATTCAGAAAGGGTATAAGTGTTATAACCCAAAATCTCATAAATCGTTTGTGTGCTCTGATGTCACCTTCTTTGAATCAGTTCCATTTTTCTCAGATGTCGGGGTCTCTTCTTCTCCCTCTGTGGTTCCTCTTCCTGTACCGGTTRTGGACMCTCTYCCYGTAGCTCCCATTTCTACTGCAGATGCACATCATATTCCTGTTACTACTGAGAGGCTGCCAATTACTCAAGTGTATACCCGCAGAAGTGCTTCGGCCCCTCCACCACTTCAGCACCTGTCGACAGATCCTGCTACTGCTCCTTCTCCCTTAGATCTTGATCTCCCTATTGCTTTGCGGAAAGGTAAACGTACTTGTACTTCTCATCCCATTTCAGACTATGTTTCCACTGCTCACCTTTCTTCTTCTCATTGCAAGTTTATATCATTACTCTCATCTGTTCCCATTCCCAAGACTGTACAGGAAGCCCTTACCTCCCYAGGGTGGMRGYAAGCCATGGAAGAAGAACTCTCTGCTCTACAACATAATCACACGTGGGAACTCACCACTCTTCCTCCTGGTAAGCACACTGTTGGGTGTAAATGGGTCTATACAGTGAAGTATCTTCCTGATGACAGTGTAGAACGATTGAAGGCAAGGTTAGTGGCCAAGGGCTATTCTCAGTTATATGGTGTGGACTATATGGAAACATTCTCTCCTGTGGCTAAAATTGGTTCAGTTCGGGTGTTGATTTCATTAGTTGCTATGTATGATTGGCCTCTCGTACAACTTGACATCAAAAATGCCTTCCTACATGGTGATCTTGTTGAGGAGGTGTATAGGGAGCAACCACCAGGGTTTGTTGCTCAAGGGGAGGTTGGTAAGGTGTGTAGGCTCAAAAAGGCAATCTATGGACT